TATCTTTTTTCTATATTCTTTTATTTTTGAAATAAATACAATCTAACAATAGTTTATAGCTTAAATTTACTCACAGGTATTTATTAACCACATACCAGAGAAAGTGAGAATTTTTATGGACGATGGGGTGATACTAGGAAGGAAAATGAAAGAAGTCAAAAATATAAATGAAATGGACAACCATGGGATCCGAACTGTGGTTAGAGAACATATTGCAGACGTAATTGAAGTACTACAGACAATTTATAATGCTGGTCTTACAATCAGTGGAGAGAAGACGAGGTTCGGCATCCAACACATGACTATCCTTGGTTTTAACTGTGGACCAGACGGCAGGAAACCTGATCAAGCTGCTGTGGAAAAGATTAAAAAGATCCCAATTCTGAAAACGGAAAGACAGATCAGGAGTTTTGTTTCAACTTGTTCCTTTTTTAGGACATGGATCCCAAACTTCTCTGATGTAGCAGCACCATTGTATGATCTTTTAAGAAAGAACACTGAGTATAGATGGGGACCTAGAGAACAGCTTGCTTTTGATACATTGAAATGCTTGTTAGTAAGTGCTCCTGTCTTACAAGCACCCATTTACAGAAGAGATGATCGTCCCCTTATAGTCACAACAGATGCAAGTCCTATAGGAGCAGGGGCAATGTTATCCCAAAATGATGATCAAGGGAAGAGATACTGCATACGTTTTGAGAGCCACAAGTTTAATGATCGTGAATCCAGATATGCCCAAGTAAAATGCGAATTATATGGAATATACCAGATGTTGAAAAAACTAAGGCATTACCTATATGGTCAATACTTTGTTCTGGAGACAGATGCCCTTCCTATCATTGGTATGCTGAACAAAGCTGATTTGCCAAATGATGCTGCGACATGATGGATAGCATTTATAAAAATGTTTGACTTCACCATAAAACATATAAAGGGCAAGCAGAACAATATTGCCGATTGGCTGAGCAGGGATGTATGTGAAGTAAATAACCTATTAATAAATGACGAGGAATATATGACCCCTACTGGAAGAGTAACCATTGATGAATCAGACAAGGATTATTTAGGAATTACAGTAGTCAAGCAAGCAGCGGCACAAACAATAAAGAAGGACTCTGAATGGTACGACATAGTATATCTGTTGTCCAATGGATTTGTTAGAAAGGAAATGCCAGCAGATAAGAAACAAAAAGTCTGGGAGAAAGCAAGAGGGTAATTCTTACAGAATGGGCTACTATTCAAAAGAAACAAGGCATCATTGCCTCAGCGGGTAATTGATGATGAGACAGAGCAATGGAGAATTGTTAAGGCGGTCCATGACAGTCACCCTACTGGTCATAGGGGCCGTTTGGCTACATACAGGATCATTGCAGACAGATTTTTTTGGTATGGGATGGCAAAAATGTCAACGGAAATTACAAAGACCTGTGTAGTATGCCAACAAAATAGTAACAATGCCCAAACTGAACCACTGGCTCTACATCTTGGGTCAACCCTGTTTGCGAGATTCGGCCTAGATTTGGTAGAATGGCCAGAGAGCAAAGATGGTTATTGGCTTCTTGCTGTTGCAAGAGATGATTTAACAGGGTGGGTTGAAGCAAGGCCATTAAAAGATAAGAGATCAATAACAGTCTATAGGTTTCTATATGAAGACATCATTGCTAGATATGGAATACCAGGAGAAATAGTATGTGACCGTGGTGAGCTATGGAGCCATTTAGCCAGATATGCAAGAGATGATGGAGTAACTCTAAAATTCACAACAGCTTACCATCCCCAAACTAATGGGATGGTAGAACGAGGCCACGCAGAATTGAAAAAGGTCATGGGCAGAATGATAACAGAAGAGGAGTGGGTGAATTGGCCAAATTACTTGCATGCAGTACTATGGGCAGACCGGATCACTATTAGAAGCACAACAGGATTCTCCCCTTACCGTCTTGTATTTGGAATGGAGTGTACATTACCTATGGATCTAAATGATATGACATGGATTGGCTTGAATTGGGAATCTGTGAAGACTCGAGAAGATTTGATGACATTCAGAGCATTACAATTAATGTATAATTCCAGAATGAGGGAAAAGGCAGGTCTACGTTTAGATGATGCAAGAGTAATAAACAAGGTATACTATGACAAAAGGAGGAATATGCAGGAGCTACCACTGCAAGTTGGACAAAAGGTGTTGTTATCAAATACCAGATGGCATAAACAAGTAGCAAAGAAATTTGCTAATAGATGGATAGGGCCATTCTTGATTGCTGATAACCCAAGCCCAAATGTATACATAATAGCAGAATTGGATGGTTCTATAAGGAAAGGAAAAATTTCTGGTAACCGATTAAAACCATTCTATGAAAGGAACCATTAACCAGATATGTTGTTTTTGCCTTGATGGCTTCAAAGTCAGATGGGGTGACCTGTGCTGAATTCTAGTAGAATTAATCTACAACACTATTTTGATCATGATGATAACTTATAATAATCATATGGATAATCCTAGAAGGGATTCACAACTGATCCAGTCCAAATTTTATCTTTAATTAGTACAGATAGTTTTAGTAAAAGTTTTACATGATAAAGAGGAGATCTCTCTCTGAAGTTTTATGAATAAAGATTCAATATATATTACTTGTGGAAACTGAATCCAAAGTGTATAGGCATATATTTATTTAAAGGACAACTCAAAGTATCTAAACTATGGAAAAGGCCAACATCCATCAGGGATCAATGGAGAAGAATGCATCTGCTGCATCTGTGGTTACCAAAAGAACCCCTACACACAACAAAGGAAATTGCTCTTGTGGCGCAATTGGCTAGCGCGTTTGACTGTTAATCGAGAGGTTGGTGGTTCGAGCCCACCCAGGAGCGGTTGTTTTTGTTTTCATTGACAGCTTTACTGAATTTATTTTTTATATATGATTTTTGTAAACAAGCTTGTGTCGCGGGGTCCTTCTTTGGAGGTTTCCTGGCCTCCTTCATTTTGGGTAGATTGATATTTGGGAGAGCTTATAGAGATAACTTTATTGTCAGATAAAATAAATGGAAAAAGAAATAAATTTAATATAGAAAAATAAAATTAGCCTGGACAAAACCACAAGGGGAAAACCTTGGCTATACTACTAAAGGAATAAAATAGAAAAAAAAATAATAACTAAACTTAAACTAAAAGATTCCCAGGAGGTATTAATAATTATATTTACTAGTTCCCTCAATATAATATTCAAGTCTTTTCAGTTATGGGTATAATATATAAATTTGCCCAAGTCCTATTAGACTCTGACTTATAATGATTTTATGGGTAGAGAATTCTACCCCACAACACTGGCTAGCTTTGATTAATTTAATATGTAATAATATTTTTGTGAATACACCCAACAGTACTAATTAATCATCGACTATACCAAATCGATTTTGTGACTAAAGTCAAAATAAAATACTTTTTGTTCATAATAAACCTTGTTAGGTTGGATGGGCTTATTTAACCAAGTTTTAGTACATAGCATGTCATAGAATAATATTTGAAAAAGTATAATAAAGGGAGAAATAGAATGGTGGGAAAATTTTATAAAATTTAGCTGAAAAACTTTTTGTTTATGAGGAAAATTAGCAGGTTAACATTGACCTTAACTGCACCATCAAATAGCGTCATAACGGTAACATTTTCGTATTGTTTCTTGAGGAGTTCCTCTAGCCTGAGCTCACAATCACCACCAGGCATCTTTACGCCCAAAAGGCTAACTTCGATATCAAATACACCAGCCTCATCTGAAGATATGACAAGGTTTAGCTTGTTGAGCTGCCTTGGTGGGTAGCCATCAACACTGACAAGTACGCCCTTATTGTACAGCTGCTCAGCAGAATACTTGTAAGATCCAAACTGTGGGACTCGACCTGCTCGTTGCAGATCACGGATATGGAAATACTGTCGTGTAAATGGCAAAACAGAGTGGTAGCGCTTGTGTCCGCCTGGTCTGTCTCCAGATCCACCAGACTTGGCACTGTCCTTGGCAGTTAGTTGATCGGTGCATGATTTAAGATACTGCTCATATGCATCACGTTGTGACTGCAAATATGTAGATTTTTCAAAAAGGTTGAGCAAGGTTTGTCGAATCCTCCTAAGTTCAGTGCGTCTGCGTTCTCTGCGGCGGGCTTTGGTACGCACGTCACGAGCAATGGCATTGAGCATTCCTTGGTATCCATCGGCCTTACGGATGCGGAACTGCCGAGGTACTCCATTGTTGTTGTTGTTATAGCTAGATTGGCTCTTGGCAAATGTGGCTGAATCGTTCAGTGGCTCGCCAGTTCCAATGTTAGACTTCCTGGGTCTTTCAACCCATCTCTCTGTCTCAAGTCGCCGCATTGCGCGAGCAATCTGGTGTTTGAACTCTCTGTATGTAAGAACCTTGAGCTCATTGAATAGCTTCTCTCCTGGCAAAGGCCCTGGCTGGGGTGGAAGTGGGGGTAATGGCGGTGTTTCTGTCCCTGTTTGTGATCCTACCCGACTAGCAGCCATGAGTCGGCTTTCCTCTTGCTGGGCATGGACCTGTGCCTGCCACTGGGCATGCTGCTGGTATTTTTGGGCATTGATTTTGGCCTCTTCTTCACTAAGCACTTGCTTCCACCTTTCTTCGTTCTCAGGAGTGGCAGGCTGGGCCAATATATCAAGCAAGTCAGTGCCAGACTGAACACGCAAAAGGTATATCCATTTTCTCTTTGTTTCAAGGAATAGGCGGTGGAGCTGGGCTGCTCGCTCTGCCTTGGCATGCACAGCCTCCTTGGCATTGGTAGCTGTTGTTCTTGATCCTCTCATTGTCCCAGCACTATTTCCAAGCCCACCGCTTCCCGATGGGTTAGATATAGTTCCAGCTGCATCACCGAGGATGGCAGAGGCTGAAGCGCCCATTGCACTAGTTGAAGCGGTTCCAGACATAAGAGTAATGGCTTCGTCAGAAAATCTATCACGAAGGTTTAATTGTAGTTCATAGTGTGAGTAGGGGTCGTTTCGAACACGAGGTGCTGGACCAAGGTCCTGTGTTATCACTCGTAGAGGATCCTCAAGGACAAGTAAAAAGTTGCCTGGTGAATTCGGATCGGGTCTCTCAACAAGCACCGTTCCTTCGGGAATGGCGCCAAGAATATCGTCTTCGTCTTCATCATCCATCAATAGCTCGTCCTTTAAGGGGAGAGATCTCTTGCTGTTATTGTTGTTGCCACTGGGATCGGTCACTTGATGATCAGACAAGTCACGGGTGCGTCTTTTCTCTATATGGCTTACAACGCTGTCATAGCTAGAGAATCTTTGGCGGAGGTGAGCAGGAATTGCCGGTGCAATGTACTCAAGGTTCTGCTCGATCACACTGTGCAGCCCTTGGATTTCTCCAACAGACATGTAAATGGTGGGCTGTTGTAGAGTGGCCAGGTCAGTGAATTCGTCGATCTGGAAAAAGACCTCTGGGTCACATACATCTGTGACTGCATATGAGTACTGGGCAAAGCGAGCAGAGGTGTATCCAACATAGTTATTCAACGGCTGTAAAAACATGTTGTCATCATCAAAGTGCTTCCCAACGCTGACCTGGTTGAGCATCTTGGCGATCTCAGCAAGATTCTTGCGCTGCAAAGGGCTAACAGTAGCCTCAATGACATCGAATGATTCTGGTGCTACAATGGCAGGGTTTATATAGCGATAATAAACAAGATGGCCAACAACCTTCATTACTGTTTCCTCAGACTCGTCAGGGAATTTGGCAGTCAGCGCTCGTCGTAGCTCTCGGGCAATATATCTGAGACCATATGGCATAGAGTCTAAAGAGGAGAGGATTGCATCGATAAACTCATCTGTGAGAACCCGGAGCTGGCGAAGGTGTCGGATGAATGTATTTCTAGTATCGATGTCGTTAAGTGCATCCTCGCGGGTTGTGTCGTAGGGTTTCATTGATCTCTGGCCAGTGCGGGATTCTTCTTCGCGGATAAGGGCTCTGTAAATTACCAGGGGATCAGACTCAAGGTCTAGTTCAGTGTCATCCAAGACTTTTTTGACCAGTGGTTGCAAAAGGTCACGCAAATACTTGCGCTCCTTGGCTCCTCGGTTGTAGTGGACAGCCAGGCGGATGAAAATTGGATTTCCTCTTAAAAACTCATGAATGCCACTGATCTGCTCTAATTCGACTCCAATGGCAGCACGGAACAGCTTGAGCAGTAAATATTCTTCGCGAGCATTCTGTGCAAACCCGAATAAAGTGAGCACTATAGTTTCCATGAGCTGAGAAACACTCATCTTGTCAATACGGCCGGTTGCATTTCCAGAAGCAGCAACTGTTCCCGAGCTGTTTATGTTTGTTGTGCTGGCTTGCTGATTATTAAGTGCCAGATTTGACCCAGATCGACTTCCCAATATATCCGTGCGAATGTTTGATAGGCTACCAGCTCCCTGGTTCAGTAAGTACAATAAGCGAGCAAGATAGATGGGCTGAGTTTGAAGAAGGTAAAACAGGTTTTGGTAGCACTCCAGCCGCCGTCTAGAATCTTTGTCCAGGTTGGTGAGCGAATATAGTGAGTTGGGAGGTACTGTACCAGAGAATGTGCCTGAGGAGTGCCCTGAGCGGAGGGCGGCCGGCAGTTGGTCATTGTGGTTGTTTGTTGTTGGGTTTCGTAACTCATCGAGGAATCGGAGATATCTCTTTGACTGACGCACAACTTCTTCAAGAGAAATACGGTTCCTAACTAGCAAAGCAATCTTGATGTCCAGTTCATTAAGTGCACGCTCGATCTGCTGGTTCTCTCTTATCTGCCTGACAGCCTTCTGACGGAGCTTCTCAAGCTCAAGCTCCTCCTCTAAATCTTGGTCAGTGTCTTCTAGCAAAGGTGCACATGTTCGGATGACCTTTGGTGTTGGAAGGGTTGCTTCAACAGTCAAACTGCGGTAGGCTTTGGAAGCCAGCTTAGCCCTGAAGGCTTGCTGCATCTTTACAATAACTTCAACATTGCGCTCAAAGTGACGTTGTCTGTCATGGAGCCTCTTGCGTGTGAGGATGCCTCTGATAACAGCTTGGACTACTTTGAGGCTGGACTCGATTTCTTTCCATGCCTTGCGCTTGCCATTGTATTCTGATCTTATTACGACACCACGACATCTGGCTTGGATTCCAATGATTGACCGCATCCACAAACGCATGTCATTGTAGAGGTTGCGTGCCAAAAGGCCACGGGCTACTGCTTGCATGGACACAATTCTTCTTTCTAACTCCTGCTTTTGTGATTCGAGATCCTGCCGCTGCCTTTCAATTTCGGCTTGCTGTCTCTCCTGTTCTTGTTCTTCTTCTAGTCTTGCTTGCTCTTCTGCAGCTTTCCGCTCTTCCAAAAGTTGGCGTTCTCTTTCCTTTTGAGCCTCTTCTTCCTCTCGAGCTAAGCGGAGTCGTTCTTCTTCCTCGGCCTGCTCAATCTTGAGTCTTTCGGCCTCTGCTCTCTCTTGGAGCTTTTTCTCAAGGATAGCATCCTCCTCTTCCTCGGCCATAATACGCTGTCTTTCAGCTTCCTCACGCTCTTGCTCTTCGATGCGCTTTTGTCTCTCCAGCTCTTCGGCTTCCATTTGGCGTTGGAGTTGGAGTTGTTGTTCTTCTAACTCTCGCGCCTCTCGTTCTCGCTCTTCTTGTTCCTGCCGTTGCTTCTCAGCCAATAACATTTCCTTCCTCATATTCTCCTCCTCAAGCACTCTATCTTGCCTGGCACGCTCTTCCTCTTCTTCCTTTTTAGCAGCAATTCTTTCTTGCTCAACTTCATACTTTATATTTTTGTATTCAACTCTAGCTAGGGTTCCACGGATCAGACTTTGGATTTGGCGGGCAGACTTTACAATATTCAAATAGTGC